ACTTTCGGGTATATTAGGCTGACTGTGTCCCTTTATCAAAGGCGAGCATCCTCACTTTACTGTTCGCTGAATTAATTTGCTCACACATCATTTAGACCGAGTCCCTCCCTGCCTGACAGTTGGAACTATACAGGAGATCACATCCACTTTACACTGCTTTTATTTCAAAGTGCTCAGATATGACGAATCTTATATAAACCTGCTGGCCTTGAACATTAGCCTGGTCACAAATAAAGTTAGTTGATTCCAGTAATGGGAAATTAAAAAAAAGAAGAAGAAAAAAGTCTGACCTCCAAGAGGTATTTAATGTCGTAAATAGGTGGATGATATCGTCAAGCTGACGAAAAAGAGAAAAAAATGAACAAGAAGAAGCAGTATTAAAAGATGCAGACTCGTAGCTGTCATGTGGTATCTCTTTATGTGGTTCTTCCTAATACGTGTAATAATAATTCTTGTCCGAGTGGCTTGCTGTAAAAGCACACGCAGAGCAGCGTGCGCAATTAAACAAATATTGTGGTGATCCAACATTTCTTGAGCGGGTCGAAGCTTTCGCTCAGATATTAAATCAGGTTATTTTATTGGATGTAATTTGGGGGGAGAAATCAAAGCCAATTACAGGAATGAGGAGGAATGAACTTGTGGATGGAGAGGATGGAGAAGGAGGAGGAGGAGCAGGTGGAGTGGGTGCTCGGGTCTCGGGCTAAAGCTGACATACCTCAGGCTTCAACTCTGATTGGTCCTCGTTTGGAGAAGCTCATGGGTTCATTCCGTTGTTAAGCGCCTCCCCATTTCGCTAAACTACATTATAATGCAACGAACCTCCCTTTTAACCACAAACCGAATTTGCTTTCATTTAGGCTATATATTTTTCTTAAATAGGTTAAAGTCATAGAGATTTTTTTCTTTTTTTCGTTTCCTTTTTTTTTTTTTGGGAATAGCATTTCGCCCTGGAGCGGTGCGCAATGCTATCTCATGCCGACCTCCTGGATGCTCGCCTCGGTGAGTTAACATCACCAAACTCCGGTCTTCAACTCTACTGTAAGCTGGAGGAACTTCTAATCTTAAATCAAGCTCAGAAATTGTCAATTTGCTTCTTATGTGATCTTAATGGGGCTGAAGTGAGCTAAACTCGCTTAATTCATTGGAAAAGTAATTATTATTATTATATTACCGCGTAATTTGATTTAACAATTTTCCAAGATACCAGTGTGATCAAATTGAATGAAGAGTATTTAAGGAGCAGATTGCAATGTGCATGCTGTCTCTTGAAAATAGCTGCAGTGGCTGTTTCTGTTCTTTCTTTTCTTTTCTTTTTTTAAATGTCTGTATTTGTGTTGAGGCGTTTAAAGCATGCACAACAACTGCTTCATCCTCTACTGCAGCCTAAACAATGCTTCAGCGGCTCCTAAATCCGCCTTTTCGCATGTAAGGCATGCTTGTTGTGTGCACTTGAATATGTCACTGCATTTGCCTAACGTGTTCCTTTTCCTTCCTGTATAGACCAAGTGTTTAATGTGCAGCTCTCACCTGCTGCGGTTGTCTGTGCAGGGATGAAGGATGCCGCGGAGCTCCTGGGCCACAGGGAGGCTTTGAAATGCAGGCTCGGCGGTGGGGGACCTGACCCGGGACACTCCGGGGAGCTCGGCCCGGGCCCGGACGGCGTGGAAGGGACTACGATGCTCCCGGGTGACGATATCACCAGCGGCGGGGGATCCAACCCGGTGCAGGTGAACAGCAAAGAGCAGGACAAACAACAGCAGCAACAACAGCAGAACAACAACAACAGCAACAACAACCCCAACCAGTCTGGAGGGCAGCAGCCCCAGAAACAGAAGCGACACCGGACCCGCTTCACGCCGGCGCAGCTCAACGAGCTGGAGAGGAGCTTCGCCAAAACACACTACCCTGACATCTTCATGCGGGAGGAACTGGCTCTGAGGATCGGCCTGACGGAGTCCAGAGTGCAGGTGGGAGGCGGCTGGGAGTGTGATGTTGATAAGAAATGAAAATGAAGAAAATGAACTTTTGAAAGCCCAGATTTGAAACATACAGGCGTTAAAAATAAAATCTCCCGGAGTACCGAAAATGCAACAAAAATAATACCTGCACATTAAAGTGATTAAATATAGAACTATTAAAAAAAAGCCCAAATGCTTTCATTTGGAGCTCAATAGTTACTGCAACATAACACAATTAAGTTACTCTGCAGACGCTACAACGGCTCTTTAGAGGAAGCTTACCGAAACACTTTATTAGGATGCAAAACAAAAACAAAAAAACAAACAAAAAAAAACAGTCAGGGTTAAGATTTTAGATTCTTTTGTTTAATTTACTCTTTTATTTTTTCTCACAAAAACCAAATTCTAAGCTAGAGGAATGTGTTATATCAATTTGTGCAAATAATCAAGCTTATTGCTTGGTTGACATATCAAAATTATTGCCTAAGAAGGAATGCAAAAAAGAAGTTTTAGTATTTCACAGAATTGTAGTCACTGTAAAAAATAAAATAAAATAAACGACGTTTTATGGCATTCGCCTATTATCAATATTATTAGGTTTTTATAGTTTAATTATTTTTTAATGTTAATGTGTCTGACACACACTGCGGTTTATCTTCGCATTGAACATAACGAGTGCAGGTGTTATTAAAAAAGCTTGATACTAACATGCCATCCTGTCGTTATAAAAAAAAGGTGCATTAATTGGGTTGTTTGTAGTATTTTATTTGATTTTATTCAAACTTTATAAAATATCACTTTTCTTTTAAAAACCGAGGTTGCTTTATTTTAATGTTTACCTATTAAAATGGACCAAATTCCAGTGTCTGCCGCATGTAATCCATCTACAGGGAACCAAATGCTGACGGCAGCTTTATTATACTCGATTAATCGCCTCGTATCAACCTTTTAACAGTCCTGAACTAACAGTGATGGTCAGTCTACAACTTCATCAGACTGCATTTCATTCTCGCTGTAATGCTGCCACTTCAGTGGCTCACTCTTGCGCCTTATTGGATGAGAACGGCAATTGCGCTTGGATCGCTCGCATGTGAAATAATACCCCATAATAATCATTACTATTATTGCAAGAGTCCATTCAGTCCCTCCGCCATTTACATAAAATCAAAATTAGCGAAATGACGCTCATCTGCCATTATGACAGCGCTGAAAATAAGAAGCAAGATCCAGATTCGATTTAGCGATGGGCCTGTCACCACTGTCTGCGTCTTAATGCCGGACGCGCTGAAGATGCACCCTGTCTCATTTTTATTTCTGTTTTTTAAGGGGGGATGAGAAATTGCGTTTTCTTTCCTTTGAAGTGTAATGCATTTCAGGCCGGATTTCACGGCTGGGTTACTCCGGGGAAAGAGAGTGCGATTGTCCCGTTCTTATTACTGCGCCCCACTTTCTCAACCAAATCTTCACATTAATCATAGACGCCCGCTTACAGCCAGACCCACAGAAGCACGGGGACTCCGGGACTAACAGAGCAAACCACCGCTCTACAGCAGCAATAACATTGCCTTTTTTATCCCAGGCCGGATGTAGCACAGGAATCTGAAAAAATGTGGCTCAAACTATACGACGACTGCTACTACTACTGCTACAAATAATAATAATAATAATAATAATAATAATAATAATAATAATAA